TAAATACTGTACTACATTGTAACTACAACGACTTTACGACAACATTCAGTTGTGCAGTTATTACAACTAGTTGCTTTGCAAATAAAGATTAAATGTGTGTGTGCAGCTCTCGTTGCATATGGTTCACTCAGTACTTGGTAGCATCGACGTACTATAAATTTCACTGAGTAAAGTCTTGGCGAACTTAAATACTAATAATAGTTTCAGAGCATCTGAGAACTCGACTACTTGGATATCTGTAAAGGCAACAGTGAGACAAGGACACAGCGCTGGGGGCCGGGGGGAGGGGGCAGGCCCTCAATGCATTGTTATTCACTCCACAGTCACTATAATCACCTCAAATAAACACAATTATTCTCATCGTCTGTGCCCTGAAAACCCAGGTCTCAAATGTCACATGCAAGTTTCGTCAACACACACACACACACACACACACACACACACACACACACACACACACACACACACACACACACACGCTGCTTGTGTCTGCCCTGTGTGCTCCTTGCTGGCTCCTTGTCCCCTTGAATAAGGGGGCTCTGGAAGTAAAACGCTGACGAATCCTGACAGTCGTACACTTGATTTCAGCCGGCTGCATTCAGAGGCCTCGAGCGCGGCGTTTGCGCGTCGGCTGCACGGAGCGTGTGCACACTTCTATTTACACGTCGGGACTCTGTGGGCGGGTTTAATTGACTTGGCCACGTCACTTTTGGAAATAACTCACTTGGTAATGGGAGACAGCCACGGAGAGGGGAATGATTTTCAAAGCCTCTTTACACTAAAAGCAATTTGTTTTTTTCCTGTATTTCAACAGACATGCGTACAGTTTTTATAATACTAACCCTATTTCACTACAAGTATGACTCCAGCCTTCCTCATGTTCGTATTCATGTATTCAGATATTCTGAACTGACATGCACTGCCACCTAAAAGAGATGTTTTGTTTGGGTGTAGACTCCAGGTACAGCTCCCTGGGCGGTTTCTCAGACTTTCACTAACCTGTGGCTGACACAGGAAGTCCCCAAAGGGTTCTTTGTGCCGTCTACAGCAACAGATATTTAAAAAGCAAAACTAGTGAATGTTGAGCAAGCCAAAATCCCCCACTAGATTCTGTTTCACCGTCTGCAGCTTCGCGCCTTCCTGCAGACTGCAGCTGAGTGGCCGTCTGTGACGCATCAAGTGACGTCTTAGAAATGGCTGCCTTTTGCTAAGCAGACTCTAACTGTGTGAAATGAGGCCAAGCAGCACAACACTCCAGCTGATAAATGTCCTATTTTGAAAATCACACGGTATGTTTCAGCATGCAGGTGCCTTTCTGTGTGCGGCTTCTACGCAGGTTTTTGTCTGTTATACCATTTATTTACTGTGCGTTGGGATGCAGGAGAAGGAAGGAAAAGCATTCAGAAATGTATAGATTTTCCATAAGAGGAGGCTTTGTTCCAGAAAGTAGAGAGGCTTAATTTTCCCTTTCAGTGGGTAGATTTTGTTTTGTTGTAAAGGGTCCTCTCTCAAAGACTCCATCTTCAGGATGCGTGTTTGAAAAGTCAAAATTTTTGAATAGTAAGAGCCTGTAGTGCAGTACTTAGTTGTGGTGTGTGAACGTTGTGCGTGTGTGTATACAGTCCTAAAAATAGCCAGAGATGCATGTCAGTGCACATAATGCTGCTATAATGCTGCTATAGTTGTGTACTCGTTTTTTCCTTGATTTTATACTTCGTACCTTAACATAGAGCATTGATTATGTGCCCCTACCTCTTTTTTTTTTTTTTTACATTTGCACACTGCATTTATGTATTAATTTCAGATAAGGTACTCATGTGAGTTTGTCTCTCTCTCTCACACACACACACACACACACCGTACTGCGAAGGTGAAAACCATCATTTCTGAAGTGACTCGGCGGTGGTTCAGCCGCTCGCTGTTGAGTGCAGGAAGGGGAAACGGCGCCGGTCCGTTTTCTTTTCAAAAGGCCCCCAGTGAGTAGCACCCTATCAAAACCCCTTTTCATTTCTGTAACCACTTCATGCGACAAAAAAAAAAAAAGGGGAATGCTGGTTCAGCTGTGGCAAGGGACCGGGTATTATTAGGCAGCTTTCATCGCAGCCCAAACTGAATTACACTAACAGTCAACTTGATTGACTTGGCTCGTCCTCCTTTTCGTCTGTCCCCTTTGACACGGGCAGCAGAGAGAAACAGCCTCGCAGTTGATTCCCAACAAACCAAACATAAAGACTGCTGGGTTCATTTAACCTGTTCAAACATGGCCGGTGTGAAATCACTCAGCCCCCCCCTCCCCCTTGTGTGAGGAAACGAGTCTCATCTTAAATATCAATTATTGGATGAGATAGCTCTGACATGTGTGGCCCGCAGCCGTTCGGGTGTTTAAACGCTGTCGGTGATGATGCTTTTGATGTCTAATCTCTCAACCCGCGTGCACTAGAAACGCATAAAACGATGAACAATAAACAAGGAACGTTTATTGCGCCAAAAGGGAAATGAATGCCGTTCTTTTTAAAAAGGTTTCTTTATATAGAAAGGTGTTTATTACGGTAGGAAACTATTTGCTAAACGTGTGTGTCCGTAGGGCAGCGTTTTCCTCTGAGAGAACAAATCCCTCCCTGTTGCGTTGTCAGCACACCAGAGCAAAATAGAGGTCACATTCACACTTTCTAAGATTGTTGTGACACTTGTATGCTTTCCCCAGATAATAAATATCTACAGTCAAACAAATATGGTCATGCAGCCTCGATGACAGGCAACAGCTATCCACCACCAGACATAAGCTGTGACCCAATTGCATAAATTATGAGTGTGCATCGTGTTCACTCAAAATGAAGCCCTTCCAATGGGATTCAACCGCCGCTCGTTTTTATTAAACACACCTGTTTTAACTTCTGCTAAAAGAGTTCTAGGGATAATGATCAATGAATGATGTCATGCCCATGGGCCATTATGAGCTGACGATGATCACTGGTGGACGTTTATGGGTTTTGAATTTATAAAACTAGTGTTTTATATTTTCAGATTTAAATCTTATATATGAGAGGGGCGTGGCATCATGAGTAACAGCATGGAAGCGCCGACAGTCTACCTCAACCGCGTTGCCTTCAGGAAACGTAGGCACAAAGAGAATTACGAATCAACGCTTCCTGTATAACATATTCACATGATTGGCAGAAAAAAGATTGACGACGTCACAAATATTTTAGCACCTTTTCCAAAAGCTTAAAATCAATAATCTTTTCTTTAACCTCAATAAATAGTTTGAGTCTACCATCTCAATGTTTTCACGTAATAATGTTTTACAGCAAGTTGGTTCATAGTTTTCTACATTTCTTGAAGGCAACGCGGTTGAGGGTTGTCAGCCAGTGGAGGCCACGCCCCCAAATTGTTTTGTTGTTTTACTGTTCAAAACAGTTATTATTGTGCTGCAGGAATGGGAAGGGGAAAAAAACAAATAATTTCTGCACTTCAGGTTTCTTCCGCTTAAAGTTAATGGGATTTTGGTTAGATGTTTGAAGTAAGGTCTAAGGTTAACGCAAGCTTAAAATATTTCCAGATTTTCTACAATATAAAATATGCAAATTTGTCCGCACTCCAGAGGGAGCTAGTGTCACCTGTCACTTTCATTCACCTGCTCATTAAAGCCTCCTTGAGCACCAAATAGAAAGTATTCTAGAAATAGAAAAATAAATGCAGGCCAGAATCAGCTCATGCTCTGGGTCAGCCAAACTGGGACAGTTTTAAGTATGAACGATGATCTGCAAATAATGAAATCCTGATGATAACAAAATGAGTTAGAGTGAAGAAGAAATTAAACAATGGAAAAAGTGTTCATTTAATTCCGTGCCCTGTGTTGGTTTGGGACAGCTAAATATGGGCGGTAAGCCAACAGAGAGCGACAGACTCACAAGTCAACATTAAAAAGTACCATCTTACAAGCCTGTTCTTCATTAGAGGCTTTTTTTGTGAGTGTTGATTGATCACGCGGGTCACTGTGGCAGAGTGACACAGGTGGTGGTGAAAGAAGGTGATTAACGGGCCCTCGTCATCACAACAGGTGTGCAGAAGTGCTTGGAAATAGCGACGGGTTCTTCTTTCCAGCATCGTAAATAAACCCAATGAATAACAGCTTAGCGTGGTTTGCAAATGGGAATAAATACATGATGGTGACTTCAGGGATTATTCATTTTAGGTGTGTTTGGTATCAGGGTAGTTTCAGAGTAAACTATCCAGCACAACTTCAGCTGGACTTGCGCGTCTTGCAGTCAGTTTTAAGTATAAGCAAAGCTTTTCTGACAGCTTGTCGTGGCTCCAACCACATTTTGGTAGCTCTTGTAAACAGACAGAAGAAAATGATTAAAACACTCCGGATGACAAAAAACCCCTCAAGTAAATAGCAATTTTGAGGAGTTCATAAAGTTCTATTTTGTTCAGACTGCAAGAGTTGTTGGTAAAACTCTGGTCATTTTGAGGAAGAGTCTTTCAGACAATGTTTTGTCAATGTTGTTTCTCTCCAGCAACAACTGCTACATTATCATTTCCTGCTGCTTTATTACAAAGCATCACAATATTTGAGATTCAAGCCCCAACAATTGGTGTTCTTGAAAAGCAGACACTTTAACGCATGACAAGCCGAAAGGTGTAATTAATATCGCGGCTCTGTTCCATTTAGATGTTACGGCAGCGTTCTGGTATTGCACACAATGTCTCCCTGGGACACGAGGCATTATTAATGGTATTACCTTCAACAGGGGGGGTTCAAAACGTCAAAGCTTCAATTCATCTGGCTGATCTGAAGACCGTTTCATATGGTTGAAGAAGCTAGTAAGTGTGTAGATAATAATATAAAGTTTTAAATCACCAAACTATGTGAACAGGCAGCTGCAGTGGAATACGTCACAAACCCAAATAATGAAGTATATAATCAGCAGGACGATCTACTCGTGCGGAGGTAAGTGAGACGAGTGCTGGGACGGCAGCGGACGGTGCGCCCGTACCTGTGCTGACGGCCTTCGCCAGTCGGCGCAGCCTCCTCTGGTGCGTCTTCCCCCTGTAGTGGATCTGGGCCTGCGCGTTGGAGTTCAGCTGGATGTTGCACACTCGGCACATCGTGGCCGTGCTGCAGCCTTGGCGCCGCTCGCGTTTGGCCCTGTGCACGGCCGCCCCCTTCCTCTCCTCCTCATCTTCCTCCTCCATGTCCTCCCCCCGTCCCCGCTGACCCTCGGCAGGACGGCCTTCGTCGGGGCTCTTTGGTCGCTTCATATCTGGAGAAAGGGGATAAAAGCGGCGTCAGCCACGTTCAAACAATTTATGCGATATAAAAACAATGCATTTCCCGTTTGTCTGAAAATGTATGTTGTTAAAGTATCCACAGGGGGGCAACAGAGCATCACGGCTCCACGCAGAGCAGAATAATACTGGTATTTTTCATTTTGAGTGATTTAAACTGCAATTACGTCTGCACCGCCATTATAACGCTTGAGATTTTATTTGACCACACAGACAACAAAAGATGCCCATCGCTTTGATTTATCCAAAAATCTCTATATGTCGTCCGAATAAAGAGCAGCATGCTACGTGAGGAGACATCACATTAACAACAGAGACCAGCGCGGCCTGTAGATAAGTCTCTGGCTGCAGCTTCTCTTTCTTTACTGGATAATAACAGCCGGCGCCATGTTTCTTTGTGTGCGCTTGTGATGGCTGAGCGATCGCGGGTAGAATGACGCCATAAATCAAACTGCTGCAAATGTGGAAATGTCACCCAGAAAAGTCTAGCCGGATTCTCCATTCTAGTGAGGCTAGCGTGATAATGGCATCGATGGGAGTCCTCATGCGGCTGGACATTTTTGTTACTCTGCCTCGCTGAAGGCGGCACGCCCTCCCCCACCCCCCAATAAGAGGCCTTCGCTAGCAACAATCTTCGTCACTCTGAAGATTTAAATTGACTGTTGGAAAGATGAAAGTGGAAAAGGAAATGCGTTCGCTGGAATTCACCAGCCTGCGACCAGCAGCACAGGCTTCAAAGCTGCAGCCCTTCTACATGATTATTGAACGATGTACTACAGCCGCGCGGTGGAGAGGGACATGAGAGCCTTTCAAACCTACTAAGTGTAAAAAAAAAAAAAAAAAAAGGTGACGTTCCACTGCTGTAATATGGACCAGCAATTATGTTTCAAAGGATGCATTATGCAGACTGGGTCATTTTTCAACCGCCATTCTGTACTTTTACAGAAAATCCATCTTTTTAATCCCAAAAATTCTCCGGCGATCCAAATATCCAGATGAAAGATGAAATGAAATTTTTAGGTGATCAATCTTACCTGGGTGAGTAGATTGTTCGACACGTTCCATTGCACACATTTTTTTTCTCCTTCTGTCTTTTTTTTCTCTCGTAATACCACGGTGTCCAAACAAGCCGAGGGGGCCGAGACAGAGACATGATTTTACCCAGACAGCTGCTGGATAACAACTCAAGAATTACGCTCTTGGATCCAAATGGTTTTGTCGGTAAATAATCCGCCATCAAAGAGCGGTTTTGAAGTGAAGACAGCAGCCAATCAGAGGGCGGTTCGGGGCGTCTGACTAAGCTAATTCACAGGCAACTACAGCCTGTAAATAATGACGTACGTTCAACTTGTTAATAAGTAACAAGCATATTATTGACCTGCTTAATATTAAGCAGGTCAATAACTCTGTGTATTTCGGTGTGATACTGCACATTGACGCCACTAGTTAAAACCATCTTACACCCGTCGTCTCCGTCCAAAACAAAAAGCCAGGCCGGCAGCTGCTGCATCCTGTTGGCACTTTGTGACACAGCCGGAGCGTCTCCGCCCGGCTCGGCCCTCTGCCGCGGGGCAGACGACCTTCACCTCCACCCGTCTCACGCTAGTGCGGGACCGTCACAAGTGGAACGGAAAAAGCTTTGGATAAAGGTTTTTTTGGAGAGTAAAAAGTTGAACTTCAACCTTCATATACTACAACTCATTGTGTTGGTATTGTGTTACTTCAAAGGTGGTGAAGTAATGAAATAGAAATGTCCGTAAAGTACTGTAAGCCTTTATGGTTGATTTTAAGTAAAGTCTCAGACTATTGTGTCGCATCAAGTCTCATAACACTTAATAAAAACGTATATTTTATGCTAATAAATTACTAAAATAATTACATAGTGGCATTTATATTAAACTGCAGGTTGGATTTCCAGTACATTTATGATGAAGCTGTAAACAAAGATGGAACCTCCACTGTTTTATAGCTGTTCCTCTAGGTCCATCAATAGTTAATTATAGAACTGATTTAAGACGTAACAGCTAGTAAAGGGCAGGTGTGACTATTAAATCGTTAACTTGAGTCAGTGTTGAAATAATGTCGATAACTGAAACTGAAATTTAGGTTAATGCACTTTCTGAAATAAATGCTCTGCATCCAATAAATGAAAAGGTTAACTTGATATTAACTTATTAACTTAGAATACCGACCCGGTGGTTGGAGGTCGATCCCAGCGAGCCGGCGGTGTCTATGTGGCGTGGAAGCACTCTGTTTGAAAACCAGTATCTTTATCTGGCGGTATCTGTTGTGCTGTCCACTTAACAGTGAAGCTATTTGGCTTCTCTTTAAATACCACCACTCATCAGCCTGAGCGGCTTAAAGACAAAGACAAGCATGTGTGTATGAACGCTGCTTCATGCACTCGCTCGCTCGCCGACCCTCGTAAAGTTGAAGGTGCAATCCAAACAGCATGCCACAAAGTAGGATGTGTATTTGTTTGACCGAATACAGTAAGCACAAGACGGCTTCTTGATCATAGTTATGATGATCATAGTTATGATGATGATATCAAGATTGTATAATAACATTTTTAAGGCTATAATACAAGCCATTATTTGTGTATCGCTTGAACACCAGGCTGTCTTGAAGAAAGCGAGGAGGTATCCATCTTAAAACTTCAGCGTGTAAAACCTCTTTTTAAGTGACTGTGCAGAGTAGAAAGTGTAGGTGCACCTTGTAAAAAACGATTCAAACTGATTTGTGTCACCAGACAAACGAGCAGACACAATAAAGTCTCCTCTCTTTGAGTAACAGTTAAATTCACCCGTCACTTGCAGGCTCCACGTCTCTGCTTTATTGACGGAAACAGCTGAACAGAAACGACCTGCCAACGTCATAAGCTACTCCATCAAGGGACTCGCTTGCAGAAACAGCGTAATGGTCTCCACATGGCTGCACTGCGTGGACGAGGACGCGTTCATTTTTGCTCTATGACATGTGTATGTGTTTCTTTACAGGCTGAACCCTTGTTCAGGAAGGCTTAGGTTAGTTTTTTGAGACGTTTCGTGGACCGTGGAGGAAAAAAATGAGGTTTAATCCCTGCTGTCAATCACAGTCCTTAGTAGGAAAATCTGAAAAAATGTGAATTCTGGCATTTTCTATATCTTGTACAAAGATTGAGAGACTCTCATCCAAGCTTTTAGTCCTAATGTCCTAATTCGACATTAAAGCTGAAACAGCCAGCCAGATGAACACCTTTCATGCATTACTCCCACAAAGACATCTTTGTTGCTAATAGACAAATGAGGGGAAGGAAAGCTTTGGCGTTGTAAAGAGTGGAAACAATCATCTGGAATAAAACACATCTGAGGTTTTCTTACTGAATACACATATTTAGGTATAAACTGCCCCATATGCTCCCTTCCATTCAACTATATAAAACATTTTGTTCCATTCCATTAACTACAGGATGAACGTACTTATCAGCATTTGAATGGTTCTCCTGTACCTACTCAAGGGGACTTCTCTATATATACGTAGCTACACTCTATTCCCCGCAATAGTGGATCTATTACACTTAAAAAGGCTTCAAGCATTTATGTATTTGTTGGTTTCTTAACTTCACGCTGGCCATTTCTCCACACACAGTCAAAGCAGTCCGAACAAATGCATCAGCAGCCCATTAATCCGCCTGACTCTTTGTGGGATGCTTCCTGGAACAAGCCGGTCTAATCCAGATGTGCTAAGACGTGGACCGACAGCATTCAGCTGTAAACGGTATGTGGCGGCATCAGCCTGCTCTTTTAAAAAGAGCTCGATTCCAGGCGGTCGTGCCAAGATGTGTCGCTACACCTGTCAGCACAGTTCCATCGCAGCAGATGGCGGCAGATGAGATGCTCGGACACGCGTGGAAAAGTCATACTCCCGCTCGTGTTTCCACTAAACACCTTGTGGGGTCTGTTTGCGGGGCGATGAGTCGGCGTGCGCGGGGGCGAGAAATGCACCTCCGACAGCGCGCCGACGTCTACGTGTCTTCCCGGTCTCGACAGTCAAAAAGGCACGCTGAACCCCTGACTGACAGGTGGTCTACATTACAGTTGTGTTGCTAGGCAACCCCGCACATCCACAGAAAACATGAATTGGAACCTTTTTCACACAAATTGCAGCTCAATTATCCTGTAATTTGTGCAGCAGAGGCAAAGAATTGGACAAAAAGAGCCACATTTTACTGAATAAAGGCAGGGGGTTAGGGGGTGAGGGAGGGGGGGGGCACTGTAAGATTTCAGTCGATGGCAGAAAATGTCCCTTAAATGCTCAAGTCTCTGTCTCATGCTTCATGTCGCTGTTGATTCGAACCTAGACCACCGAGACAGTGTCCGGATCAACTTAACAGGAGGTTTACCGGATTCAAGGCAGAGGTCAACTACAAGCGAGCAGTCAGGGGAAGCAAAACTCAAATTTTTTCCAAAAATAAATGATGAGTGAATTCTAAATGATCCGGGTGGCCAACAAAAGCTGGACGCTGCGGCTCTGGAGGCATAACGAGGGCACAAAACGTTCTCTCCCTTCGGTTTCTCAAATATGAGGGTTGCTGCTTTACTTTCAAAGCTTTATGAAAATCAACATTTTCAAAAACACAAACAATGATTAAATGACTAGCAGAATAATAAATCGATGGAATAACTGTTGGTTGCGACGTGAGGAGGGTGATGTGGAAATGGGTTGCAGCTGTGATTTTAAACCATAAATTGGGAGATAAATGAAGGAAATTAATTTACTAAACGTCACTCAATGAATGAACTAACCAACCTGTTATTATTACCAAAAGAATATTTCCTTAAACGTTTGGCGATGTTTGTCTCCGTGGTGAACTTCAGATCTGTACTTTGAAAGGAGCCCAAGGAGAAGCATGACTCATGTCGAAGGCTCGATGAAGTCAACTCAATAAATTCCCACAAGTGAGCAACGCAGGTGCATCTCAGCCATTAACACCCAGAAACACCCGGCCGTGACCCTCGGAGCGACACGCAGAGACACCTCTGCGGTGCGGAGAGGTTTTCTATGTCTCACATCTCTATGTCAAGGTCACTTGCGAGTGTTCCACTCCCATAATGCAGTGATTCACTCGGTTAGGTAAGTGAGTGGGAGCTGTAAAGAAGGGTGCATATTTTTAGTCCGTGCGTAAGGCGAAGGCGGCGACGTACGTTTCTGCACGCGGATTCTCAGTTTGTGACATGAGGCCCACTAAGATAAATGTACTGCTGACTCCGCCTATCACTGCCTGCTATTATGAATCAAAATATGATGTATTCACTGTCATATTTTCTCACCAAACATTTTAGAGCTTTTACTGGTGCAAAGTTGTCTCCCACTTTCTCGTTTTCGAAAAAATCAATCAACGTTTCTCTCCCGAGGACCCGCTAACACCCCGTTAGTGAGGTGATGTTCAAACATGGCTGGTTATTGAAATTATTTAATTTGATTCGGTGGATTTTCGTTTATGCAAATTGTTGAGCAAACTCAGATATAAAAATGACAAAATATTACATTTTCCGTTCATTCTAATCATTTAAAAAGAATTAACAAGCATTAATAAGTTATGCACGTAGAACACGTCTGCGGTCAACTTCTGAAAACCAAAACAAGGAAATACATGAAGTAAAAAAATACATCTGAATTCCTCGATCAGCATAGATATATTCAATAATAAACGCCAGCCCCCACAATGCATCTGTGTAATCAGACTGATATCCCGGCAAGATGGTTAACCCCCCCCCCCTCACACAAGCCAACACTCACTCACACACACACACACACACACACACACACACACAGTGGGGAGCCTGGCTAAGTTCCCAAAAAACGTCTGTAATGATTTGGCATCCATCTTGTCGACACCTCACGGAAATCCCAAGACACACACACACACACGCACGCACGCACGCACGCACGCACGCACACACACGCACACACGCACACACACACACACACACACACACACACACACCCCTCTGTAGCTGGAGATTAGGTCCAATGTTAAACAAAGGAGGAACATGTTTCTGACAAGCCGGCTCTTTAATTAGACCACCGGTATCTGAGGAAAACACACACACACACACGCACACACATACACACACACACACACACACACACACACACACACACACTAGCTTTCAGATGAGCCTCAGATACAATAAGCAAATAAATAGTGTCAAACATACTTTTGACCACACACAAGCCCCCTTTCTCTGTCTCTCACACACACACACACACACACACACACACACACACACACACACAGGTGTGTCTGTTTGTCACAGTGAGACCGTTCCACAGCCAGACAGGACGTGCAGCGGCCAATCAGCTGTCACCGTCTCTGATGTGTT